TGTTTGCTTATCACTGCACAAGTTTGTAGAAGCACAGACAATGAAACAAATATAATGAAATTTCTAACATTTTCCCTTTTATATTTTAAATCGAAATATTTACTAAAAAAATGTTTTCAATGGATTTTAATAATGAAAGGATGCGATGAAATGGATTAATTATCGTGGTCATGAAAATATGCTAGGTATACACACCGGCAAATTTCTTGAGCTTTGACTTTAGACAAGGAACCCTGCGAAATAGCAACTTACATACAAAAAGTTTACTGAATCGTTTGTCTGTGGTTTTGCTCAAGATGTTTGCCGCTGACTATTCTATACTAATCAAAATGAAACAATATAAAATTACTGATACTTACCTAATTAAATAAATAAGATCAAATTATTGACACTTGCCTAATTTAAGAAATATCCGAATGAAAACGTTAATTAAGTATAACACTTATTTTAAATAATTTGTTAGCATACATGTTATACTTATTGGACAAAATAATATTAACTGTATCTAACAGCATGTTTGAAAGTGGGATAAGAATTTCTTTTTTTGTTCTTATGAACCCTTGGCTATCTCTTACCTTAAGTAGGTATACATTATTTTAAAACTGATTAAAACCCTTATTAATAGATCGCTCTCAACTCTGAGGCTAGAGAACTCAAGATCTCTCCGAGTTGAGAGCAATTTATTAATACGGGCCTAAGTTTATAAAAATCATAATTAATCGTCGAAAATACACATGATACAAATTATTTTCTAATCGTTTTTCTAGTGTAACATACATAGGTACTTACTACAATAAAATTATCTCCATCGTAGAATCACTAATCAAATTCGATAAATTAAATCGGATTAAGTATATCTAGTTTTTTAATAGAAAAAATATTACTATGTAAAGAAATATTACTGCAGACGATTTCTGAAAACAACAAAAATCTTTAAAATATAGCTTGTACTTAAATGTTACCACAGAAATTTTAATCTCAAAATTATCTGTGGAAATGAGAAACCGTGCAAAAATTGCTCATTTTGTTGTCAGTTCGAATTTTCTTGTAGCTTATAGGTATCTCATCTCCATCGACCTCATTTTTGCAAAGCTATAAAGAAAGATTATAAACCTTAGCTTTTCAAAAAATATGTGTTTTTTACATAATTATGTTCGATTCTATAAAGTTACTGTTCGATCGTTTTACTTTCTTTGCGTTTGTTTTATATTAATGGTCGGTACTCAATTGGCACAAAGGCAAGAGTCTCGCAAATTGGCCCGCAGCCACGGCAAGTAGCGCGTGATGCGTGTGTACACGCCCGGGTAACCCGGCCGTCCGCATCCGACCCCCCATGATACTATACCTGGAACATATAGATAAACAATGTATTTATAACATGCAGATTATTTGATTCGAATAGGCCAATAATTCTGAAACTGATGACGGCCCTGTTTCACCAAATCGACATATGTCACTGACAGATGTTGCAGAGATATGTAACAATTATCCGTATCTTACTTCAACTTCAATTATGTTGTGAAACAAAGTTAATTTTTTTAAAGTCATCATATTAGGCCAATTATCAGTAATTCTTAACATGAAATATGAATGAATAACTATGTAAGATTTGTATTACGATTGTAAGATTTTCGTTGTTAGTTACAAAATGGCTCTCCGCGAAAGCTTGAATTTGTAAAAAACAAATAAATTAGTCTTTAGATATCACTAATTTTGCGTTTAAAGAAAAAAAATATATAATAGATCATCCCACAATAAGCTGTCGGGTTATATATGTCAGTGACATAATTATGTGGACTTGATTATTTCACCAAAATCAAAGCATTGAAATTAAAAGATATACAAAATTAAAATAAGTTTAGATTTGATAATATTTTTTAACAACGAGCACTCGGGATTTAAAGGTACCTACATAATTCTACACCAAATAGTCATTCTTCATTCAAATAAAATTAAAACTTAGATGATAATCATTTTATTTTTAAGCATGTAACTGCTCGTTGTTATTATCTAAAGAAAATATTACTAGAAAAAAATCCACGCGGACTAGGCAGCAGATTGAACCCGCACCCTTCGCTATCCGGGCGAATGCACTGATCACACAGCTACCTGACAGCCGTGTCGAATTCTTTTTAGCCTTTCTTAAGCTGCAAGGCAGCACCATCTCTTCATTCATTGTAGGTATTGTATTGTTCTAACCCACCATGACAAATGTATACCTTTACAAGAATTAAACATTTGAAAGAAGAAATAGCAATTATAGTAATAATTTTTATTTTTCAAGCATGTAACTGCTCAAAAATGTCATTTGACATTTTGGGTTACCTTGCAGTTTAAGAAAGGCTAGAAAGAATGCGACACTACCGTCAGGGCCGCGGTAGCATAATGGTCAGTGCGTTCACTGGGATAGCGAAGGGTGCGGGTTCGAGTCCCGTCTGCTGCCTGGTCGGCGTGGAATTTTTTCTAGTAATGTTTTCTTTAGAACTAAAATGATGTTGATAGAGATTATAAAAAATATATTTAAAACGTGTCTAGAGGATTGATTGATTAATTTTAGACTAGACAGACGTTCATAGTCATGCGAACGCTCTCTGTTTTAATCGGTTACATTGCTCATTTTGGTACCTAAATTATTTCACACGCTTTTCGTTTCATGAGTAGATAAAAATCAAGGGTATTTAAAGCGTAACGCTAAAGTTCTTACCTTGAAAGTAGAGTTTAAAAGTTGTTTTGTAGCATACTTTTAACTTTTTTTATATGTTACAAGACATCAAACAAGCTCAATCATCGTAATCAACCTATTTAATGTCCCCACTGCTGGGGCACAAGCCTTCTCTATACATGAAATAGGGAGTTACCTCAACATACCCATAAGCATTTACTACAACCTGCAAAATATAATAGGTAGTGGGAAAATGAAAGAAAAGTCTGTGTATGATGTACATTAGGTCATTTAAATTTTAAATTATTTATTCAAAACCTTACAAAACGAGGCATTGAGCAGAAAGAACTAAGTAGGAGTTTTCACTTAGACGCTATTTTTGTAAAAAATAAAATTGTACTTAATTCGAGTTAGCCCATCTGGTGAAAAACATATCTACGATTTCTTGTACGTAATGTACTGAAATATAACGTTTTCGTACACAATATGGGATGGAGGAAATTGTTTATTTTACGTACACAACGTGGGATGATAGAAATTATTTAATTTTTGTACACAATGTGGGATGATAATGACACACAGACGGGGTATTGTGTTTAACAATCTATATTTTGTATGTCAAATTGGTACTGCGCGCGCGGGTTTCCCTTTTTATTTATGACTGTTGCTCAAGAAGTTTACCTGGTTGTTTAATATCCATTACATCGTCGTCATTGCTTACGACCACTACACTCACCAACAATTTGAAATTTGTCTCCCTGTTGCACGAGCAGTGGTCCTCCGCTATCGCCTTGACATGAATCTGTCGATGCTCGCCCGGCGCACAACTGTAACAATCGAACATTAATAATTCAATAATAATCATCATCAGGCTATTAATGTTCGCACTGCTAGGGATCGGGTCTTCCCTATGGATGGTATAGGGAGATTGGACCATGACCAGCGTCGCCAGACGTCGTAAATGTCCCGCGTGACAGGCTCAATCCTGCTTTTCGGGAATAACGCGACCGTGCGTGCAGCGTGCTTAGAAAGCGCGGGCGGGTGGCACAGACATATGTGGACTGGTCGCCTGCCCGGCCCGGTAATGAAGATAAATATTCAATAAGTTTTGATTGTATACGTTTTTTTTACTATGTCCCACTTTCGACGAAATAATCCCGCTTTTTTTCTGAAAAAGTTTCTAAATCAAGACTTGGCATAAAATAAATCTGGCAACGCTGGCCATGACCCACCACGCGAGCCCCGTGCGGATTGGTGGATATTAAAGACTGGAGATACGGCCGGGACCAACGCCTTATCGTGCCTTCCAAAGCAAGGAGTTCGGTGTAGTAAATTTTAAGTCACTCATCCAATGACCGACTACTGTAAAAGTTGTTTAACTTCAACGATCGTAGCTGAACGCGTTATTCACTTGCGCCATAGAGCTCCTCAATCAATAATAACTTCAAGCAATTTGAAGCTTATAAATTTAAGCTTGTTTATTTTAGGGTCAATAGAATTCCTTAAATTTATTGTTGCTTTTTTGTCTGAAACAGCTGTTGATATGTAGATGTTGGCGACACAAAATACCAAAGTCAGGGGCTGCCTTGACCCATGGTGCTCTGGAAGCCATAGTTACTTACAGGAACATAACACCACCAAAAGGTAGGGTTACTTTTTGCAGTCTTCTGTAAGGCTAACGGTACTTTCCCAGACGAGCACTTCAGTTCGATCTGAAAATTCAAAGTGCCCTCCCTCTCTCTAAAACGCTAAGTTGTACCACAAGTTTGTGTATTAAAAATTCACCAATCCGACTTTGATTCTTATGTATTTCTATCTTAGGTTTAAAACTTATTATCTTACAAGTCACCTTCATAACCGAACTGTTGTGATTTAAAGTAGAATCAAATTCGAACTCCCTCACACTATTCGTTGACATGATAGGAGCATAAAAATAAATACTTATCTTTTACATAATTTTACAGTTCCTGCAAAATTTATGTGTGTATGAATTGTTGGTGTACGATATAGGTGACAGGTGACAGGACAACATTACCATGTTGTTGGTGATCCTGGAGACGTGGTAGTTCATGGCGCGGCACTGGCTCACGGTGAGAGTGGGGACGCGCAACTGTTGCACTTACAGCAAACACCCCCCTCCGACGTACGGCTTATTGCACCACAGAGGTCGTCAATCTGTGATCCTGAAGGCGCGGTACTTCATGGCGCGGCACTGGCTCAGGGACACAAAAGGCACGCGCACCTCCTGCACTATGGGAGGCAGCGGGCCCCTCCTCCGACGTACGACCCTATCCCATCACGATGATCGTCAATAAATAGATATAGGTGTTTATAGTACCATGTTGTTGGTAATCCTGGAAGCGCGGTACTTCATGGCGCGGCACTGGCTCAAGGACAGGATGGGCACGCGCACTTCCTGCACTATGGCGGGCAGCTGGCCCCCCTCCGACGTACGGCCCCACCCCACCACGATGCCCTCTTTGCCTGATGGTTCGGTGCCTGCAATGTTACCGATACGATACGTACAAGATCATAAAATAGCAGGCGTCGACGCATACATTCATCGTGAGCACGACACTAAAGGACTTCGAAGCCACAAGAGAAGTATTCGTCTAGGATGACATGATATGCCGAAAATTTGCTTAATCTCGATTAAACTAAAACTAGATTTAGCCCATAGAAGAATATCGAATTTGCATTAACATATTGACATTTTTAAATGGGTAAAATCGAGTTTTAGTTAAATCGAAATTTAGTTAATTTGCTGCGGCCCAACTTGCAAGTAGACCTTAGATGGAGCATTGCCAGAGGAGTAAAAAAGAAGAATGTATTTTTATTGTTACTAGAATAACCTACTTGCAGGTGGTAAGCAAACAGGCTTGATGATTTTCGAGTAGGTGACGGGTTTGCGGAGCTTTAGCAGAGCTATGTCGTTGTTGTAGGAGTCTGCGTCGAAGCTGCGGTGGCGCACGATGGCGGTGACGGCGCGCATAATGGCCGCGCTCTCAGTGGTTATGGTCTGGTCGTGATCACCAAGGATAACGCGGATTTTAGAGCGCTTCAACCTGAAATAGGAGAAAGGTGATATCGTTGTATAATTAATGTACAGGTACTTATTAGTATTAGTAATTTAATAGCAATTTAGGGCAACGTCTGTCAGGTTCACTAGTGTGAACCCGACAGACGTTACCTTGCACGATAAAGATATTTTAAAAATCCACACCCTAGATGCAGCACCACTTATCGGGTAAGCGGCTCCAACATTCCCCAACTAGGTTCTATGTTCGCTACAATATGGCAATCATTTTTAAATGGGGTTTATTTGATGAAAAATGGTCACAGTAGCCCATAGACACTAGCAACACCAAGGGTACTTATGATCATGCGTTGCTGGCTCTGAAGGAAACGGTTTAACGCGTCTATTGAAGACCGCCATATCATAGCTAAAAGGAAAAATCGCTGAACTGAGAAGTTCGTTCCGGATCTTGCAAGAAAAAGGAACGAGCGCAACATGGGTTTTACGTATTAGACCCACTTCCTGAGAAGCATAGTGCGCTGCCGTGAACACATACTCCTTGGTGAGCGGAGAGGCGCCGCAGTAGAATTGTCCGTCGTACATGATGCGCGCCATCCACGGGTAGCGGTTGGTGCCTTGGGTTTTACACTCACTTTCTGACACATTGCGCTGCCGTGAGCACATACTCCTTGATGAGCACAGAGACGGTGCAGTAGAATTGTCCGTCGTATACAATGCGCACCATCCACGGGTAGCGGTTGATGCCTTGGGTTTTACACTCACCTTCTGACACATTGCGCTGACGTGAGCACATACACCTTGATGAGCAGAGAGGCACCGCAGTTAAATTGTCCGTCGTACAAAAGCGCGCCATCCACGGGTATCGGTTTACACTCACTTTCCGAGACAGTGCGCTGCCGTGAGCACATACTCCTTGGTGAGCAGAAAGGCGCCGCAGTGGAATTGTCCGTTGTACACGATGCACGCCATCTACGGGTAGCATTTGTTACCTTGGGTTTTACACTCATTTTCTGACATAGTACGCCGCTATGAGCACATACACCTTGGAGAGCAGAGAGGCACCGCAGTTGAATTGTCCGTCGTACAAAAGCCCGCCATCCACGGGTATCGGTTGGTGCCTGGGCTTTTACACTCACTTTCCGAGACAGTACGCTGCCGTGAGCACATACTCCTTGGTGAGCAGAAAGGCGCCGCAGAGGAATTGTCCATCGTACAAAAGCGCGCCATCTACGGGTATCGGCTGATGCCTTTGGTTTTACACTCACTTTCTGACACAGTGCGCTGCCGTGAGCACATACTCTTTGGTGAGCAGAGAGGCACCGCAGTGGAATTGCCCGTCGTACACGATGCGCGCCATCCACGGATACCGGTTGGTGCCGGCCGGCATGCCTCCCACGATGCGGTTCTCCTGGTTAGAGCCGCCGCACTCTGCGGAAATACGAGAAAGTGAGCTTTTGCAGGGTTGATGAACCGCCTGCCCCTGCGCATTGAAAGGGCATGGCTGTTTACAGGAAAGTGAATGCAATAATCTCAATGAAATCTTAATATGAGGATTTAATTTAGATGTCGTTATAAAGTATGTAGGTATGCCGTTTTCCAGTGATTTTACAGTTACTGAAATTATAGTTACAAATTAAGATCACATTGATAAATTTTAAGTGATTAAAACGAAACTTAAACAAGCAGGTACTCAGGTACCCTTTCCCTGTCTGTTTGGGCAAATTCGCTTGCAAAGAGAAGAGCACTCAGTCTAAGCGATACCTAGGTACAGAATACGTAAATTAATCATGCTGCCGTATAACTATTACCGTCCTTGTTATTCCACAGAAATTGTGATATTTATTACAAAACAGAAAACAGCAAAACGTTTTAATTATAAAAGCCACAAGAAATATGCCAAGACCCCTTACTGTTGATTTTACTCTATTATCCATGTCTTAATTGAACTAGAGGCGGCCCTACCTCAGTTTCTTGAACCGACCGGGAAGTGAGTCTGAAGATAGAAACTCGATTATGTACCTACCTACCTGTTGGTTGCTAGCGGATGTTTTCGTTTTCTAAGCCATTGACTACTTCGCATTATTGGCTAAAGCAAAAGGACACAATAAAGTATGGGCAGGAAGGAAAGGAAATAAATTTTTCAATTTACATTATGTTGGTATTCTAAGGTTATCATTTTTTCCGCTTTTCCGTAGTCTCTTTAAAATAAAATAATATTAGGTCATCATTATCCTTTTAATGAGAATGATGAAAACGGACGATAGATATATTACACAACTTTCGTGGCTATTTGCCCACGAAAATTATTAATTATCATTCTCTTGTCCGTTTCTACTGTATACAAACATATATAGTAATATGTAGTAAACTATTTCAGAAACACATAAATACAGTGATTTTCGAAAGTTAATTTAATCATAAAAAAAACATTTTTCAACCATACGAAACCAGAGTTGGCACTAGTTTCCAATATTTGCATTATCGGTCTAGCAGAGGATGATTTTAGCTGAAATTTGATCTTATTTTGGTAGCGGCAAGTTCGTTTCGTAACTTTCGTGGACACAAAAATTCAAAATTAAATGTCGTTGTGAATTATGTATCAATTAAAATGTTTCATATCTAATTATTGCGTCATTTTTTAAATAAGAATTTGAAATTTTCTAAAATCTCAATGTGAAATTTCGCCAAGAAATTTGCATGAAGAACGCTTTTTAAAGAATTACGCCTATCTTAAATGTAACTCTGACTACGAACCTGGGCTACCAGTATGATCTTTAAAAATAAAAGCCTCGAATTAAAAAATCAATCTTATTTCCCCAAACCTCATTGCTGGCTAACTAACATACAGGATTTTTTTACATAGCATCACTTATAAATACGAGGTCATAGCCACGCGAGCTCTGGGCCAATTCGATAATTACTTATTAAATAAACAAAATTACAAATCATAACATTATCTACAATTTTGATAGTCACTAAAAAAAATACAAGCGGTTAGCACTAAAAGAAATTTGCAGATAAGCATTTTACTGTGGGTGATTATTACTAAGTACCATTGATGCGATCACGATTAGATCTGCGACAAATCTGACGCTTTCACTGTCACTTCCATAGTTCAATGCACAATTTCTTCCACAGTCGATGATCGCTCGACACCACTTTTTTGCTCAACCGACAGACATTATATAGCTTGGGAAACACAAGCGGGGTTATAAATAATACCTAGATACTTACGAGTAACTAACTACCTACTAAACTATGCCCAAATAAGTTATTTACACAATAGTGAATAGATATTTCAAATGAGGTATAGGTACTCATAAAAAAATAAATAAGTTAACAATTATACACAAATAACGGGAGCTTTAATATTATACCAAATTATATTTATTTTATATACAATACAATAACCATATATGAGCATACTAAGGGTGTGGATTGGGATTTTCATAATACAATAACAACATTAGTCGACAGTTAATACATTCGCACATACAATAATCAACATCTGATCTACGGGGTGGTACTTTCAATTAACTTACCCATTTTTCTAGGGAGCGGGTTCGCTCTGCCACACTCTATAATTTAAACGTGAAAAGGAAAATGAATACCAAGTGTTATAACTATAAGTAAAGTGAGCTACGTGATTTTGTGCCTAAACAATTCCAGGATGAAACGTCGTAAAAGCCATTTTACCCAAAATCTGTTTTTAACGGTTTCTTTATCAGAATCGCGAGCTCTATCGATCTGTATATTTAAAATGTTCAAATTCGCGAAAAAATGTCTTTTACAACACGCTCCAATTAATGCCCTAAACCCATTTTTCTTCTTGTAAAATGTCATAATGAGCAATTTTGGAAATACTTTTTTCAAATTTATGTAGTAAGAGACATATTTTCTCATTCCACGGTCAATACAACATATATAATACAGTACTGGAAAATAATACTATTGAAAAATTTGTAGTAAAAGACACGATACTACTAACAATTTTGATGTAGACATACTAGGGACTTCGGAAAAGGCTTCGATTAATCACAGTTTTTTTTATTACAAGGAGTGAAAAAATAAAGGATGTAAGTTGATAGAAGAAACCAATATTCTATGTAAACGAAGTTCTGGACGTTACTTAGACGTAAATACGGCTTGTTGGCTTTAGTTGTGGGCCCCAAAATTCGTGTTTTCAATAGCAGTGTCGTGTTGAATTGTTTACCTAGGACAGTAGGTTCTCTCTCTCGCTGCCGAGCATGGTCGAGGCTATGCACAGTAGTAAGACGGCTTGGAAGGAGTCGCCTCTCTCTGTGATGACGTCATCTCAAAGTAGGAGGAGGCCGAGATGGGACAAGAGGACAATCCTCTGGCCGTCCCCTGCCACCGCAAAAGAACAGGCACGGGAAGGCGAAGGTGTGCCCTGGCTGCGCACGTGCAGTGACCCTATCTAATTGAATCACTTGCTGCCCGGCATGGCGTTAGCCGTGCCAGCCACCGATGGATTCCGTGGCGTCAGCTATCTTTTGTACCTAACCTACATGAGAGGGCCGCGGAAGGGCCTGCGAGGGGAACTGCGCAGTCCTTCCGCAGCAGACGGGAAGCGGTGCGGTGGGCAATAGGCCGCGCACTTAGTTGCATTTTCTTCACTAAATTAAACTTTATTCTTATTACAATTGTCTTTTAATTCAAAAATCCCTTTAATGAAACAATTTATGAAGTCTTATACAACTTCAAGGAAAAAAGATTACATTTGCCAAGCAGAAATAAAATGTCGTAGAAACCATTTACAACTTATTTTTTTGTAGTAAAAGCCATGCCATCTCTGGAACTAATGAATGTAGGCTACTCCGAGTTTCTTATTAGTAAGCAACCCGAAAACCTAAGCTTAATGAGTTATAGTGGTTTATTATAAATTAAGCGAATCAAAAAATATACGGGAAACAAACTTCACCGTTTTTGTTTTTTGGCCGTATTGAAAAATATTGTTTTGGCTTTTACTACGTTTCATCCTGGAAGGGTCGAAAAGATGAACGTTTCAGTAGTAGAAAAATAATTATGTAGGTATACTTATATAGGTACATGTCCATTACTGAAAATTGTCTCCTCCAATTTTTTCCACATAAAAGTTTACTTATACTTGCATCAACACAGGAAAATATCAATCCCATATAATCAGTGAGTGATATAGTTCTTAATTTCTGAACTGTTGTTCGGAAATAATACTGAAAGGCTATCGATTCCAAGCTAACGATAACAAACTGCCCTTTCCCTTGATAGACTTTTACTATTTTACCAAGTACTAGCAATTGCGCAAGCGTATGGTGCATTCCATCTTTTTTTTTATCCGTCTCAGTCTCAGAATAGCAATCTCCAATAGATCCTATTAAAAACAAACCCCCGTTTAATATACTTACGTTAACACTTGTACACACTTTAACTCATAAAAAATTTGGTATTAAATAAAATACTAAGTATAAAAAATTTTACGTACCCCTTATGAAAATTCATTTACAATACATAAAAACAGTTTGATCGAATTGGATTGGAAAAAAAATGGACTCCAGTCAATATACTTCGGAAAGTATTGCCGCTGAGGCTTATTTTATAGAGAGAGCCAATTTTATGAAAACTCATTCCATAATTTTCCGCGCGGCTCATTGGCGTACTGGCAAAACATATAAGAAAATTAATGTTCGCATGTTTTCTTTGATTATAAATAAATGAGCTCAGAGCTGTGTATATTTAGATCGTCCAGTTTTCCTTAAAGCGAGTCCAGATCCAGATATATTTTGAAGCTAAATCGTCTACGAACTTACCGCAAGAACAATTTTTGACCGTAGAATCATCGTCGTCGTCTTCAACACTCTGCTCCTCTAGGATGGGTACCTCCAAACCAAAGATAGCATCAAATAGGAAACGCTGCGATCTGTTGCCTGATGACACCTGAAACCAGGAAAAAAACCGATTTAATAGGTATGGGGGGAAAGGTGTCCAAACGGCCGTTTCAAGTTGTGACTCTAGAAAAATACATAGCGTGTTTCCATTACACAAACAAAATAAGTTTAATAGTAAAGACCTTTGACCTGATGGCAGTGAAAGAAAATAATACGTTCTGCAAATTTCCTATGCACGATATTACCAACAAAGTAGGAAATCATTATTTAATGTTCCGCAAAACGTTTAAGTTTTATCCCAGGGCCTATGTAATGAAGCTGTTCATGTCTACACATCGAATACTTTCACGCTTATTTCCGGATATATGCAGAACCGGAAGACAGCGTGCCTGAAGCTACACTTTACTTAATAGCAACGTTAACACGATATCAAAACGAATGTGGGTCGATTGGATCTGTGAGATAATTTTTTAAAGCAAAGGTAGTCATTGCATCACATACGAAACAGGTATTATGTTGTCCTCGGCAACGCATTTACGTAAGTTTTGTTTACCATTTATAGTGAACAAAGCACTTTCGCGTTGACAGACAGACGCACGGCTACTGTCGCCGTGTTGCGCAATAGACCTAAAGTTAATTGGCCAGTAATGTCAATGTTACTTTCACAATCAACTGTTATTGTTGTTTTTTACTTCTCCCGGCATCCGCACTTGCACTTTCTAGTCTCGTAGAATTGCGAACGGATTGTGTCAATCGAATTCGTCGACTGACACACAAATTTTCGTTATATATTTAACATCATTAAACTTTTGTTTTGCTTAAAATAAATTTTCTTTCAATAAAAAATAAAGAATCATGAAAGTTCAAGGAAATAGAGTAGAAAATTTGCACTGTGATCTATTTATTTTTTGCTAAAATTTATTATTATATTATATTAATAAGTACACAAATAATCTCTATCTAATTACATAATTACTCTATATATAAATACTAGAACAATAAAACTAAAACAAAAAAACCTTAAAAAATAAAATTAATAACTAAGATATATTATTAAAAGTCCCTTTAGGCAAGGGTCCGAAGATACTGGCAGCGTTACCCCTTTGAATGGCTAGACTAATTCTTTGTCAGAAGTAGCTGCCAGCTCTTCGATCTCCTGTGATGTCGACTAACCTTTTTGCTATTTTCTTAAATAGCCTTAAAGCGCTAGGACCCCATGGACCAAGAGTCTCGACACCGAATGGGACAAAATCATATTCTCAGCCTAGACCCCTGTATTTGCTTGCTTTTGCTTTTTCAGCCGCTTCACAAGCCGCACCAGCTCTGTTGTTGGTTCCATGTAGATGGGAAGGGGCCAGCGTGTCTGAACAGGTTGCATCCCATACCAGCACCGACCCATCTTCCATGGAATCAAACTCATACCGTCTGGTCTCTTGCCATCGTCTCTTGCGATACCAGTCGGCTCAAGTAGACTTGGCACGTTGACAGTGGCAAGGGACCGGCGTATGATATCATTAAGTGCGGCATGTCTCGAGAAGCGGCCTGCACTTTTTTGGCATGACAGTCCGTGATGTCCAAGCTTGTCGACATCAATGCCACAGGGACATTTATGAGGAGCGCAGACCCGGACCCCAAGCCGTAGACAGGTTGCGATTCGGAGCGTGTCAGGCTCAAGAAATGTTCCTGTATTTGACGAGGGGTACGCGTGAAGCCAGTAGCCGGCCTCGTGCGCACCCATGGCCAAAAGCCTAGCACGCGCCGAACCTGTACTACAGCTTTTTTGCTTACTTTTATTATGTTAAAAATAAGGGTGGCAAACTAACGTATGGCCCACTTGATGGTAAGCGGCCACCATAGGCTATAGACGCTAGCGATACCAAAAATATCACTCGCTACGTTGGCTACCGTGACCCAATCCCCACCCAGTGGAGCCCAGGAACCTTACTCACTAACAGAAACATAATACCACCAAAAGGGAGTTGTTATTTTATTGTGATCTTCTGTAAGGTAGAGATTACTTACCCAGACGGGCGCTTCAATTCGAGAGGCAAATCCGCTATACTAGAGTAGTAGGGCGTAGCATATTTTCCGTAGTAAGAAACCTATGTAAGTATTAATTAACACAGTAACTATTAATTGTGTAAAATGTAGTTCGCCTTATTAAACTAGGTATAATGGATGGACAGCCTTTCAATATTTTCATCTATTTGATGAAAATTACCTTAATTAACACCAACTTTCAGTTATTAGTAGATGAAATTTCACGCGCAGCAATATCGGATAAGTGCGCTTAAATACAATCTGGCTCTATCCTGATCAATGGTTTCTGTCGGGAATGATTGTAATCTACAGTTCTTATTTACATTATACTACACTAATGGGTGCGCGACCATACAATACGAAAGACCTTAAAAAGATGATTTCTAAGACACAAACTATTCTATAACCTTTCTCGTGACTCAAATTATCTCTATACCTACCAGACAGACAGACAGGCACACTTTCGCATTTACAATATTAGCACGGATATATTGTTTAAATTCGTAATTATAAGTAACCTCCTGTGATACTAAAAAAAGGTTCTGTTATAGGTAAACAGGAGATAATTTAACTATAGGTAATTAGATGTAGTAGGTATACTTACCCATGAATAATGCCTACGTACGTGACATGAAATTCCAATAATTATACTACTTAGGGCCACATGCAACAATATTCTTAAATCAAATTAAGGCTTGAACAAAGTGCAAAAACTGCTGATGCAATTTCCAAAAAAAAGTATGGTTAAGAGTATCGATACTTATTTAACCGAAAGTATAAAAATAAACATTAAAATTAAAAACTTAAACCAGGTAGCTACCTATTAGGCAAGTTGAATCTTTGAAAACAATGTTTCTCTGCCAAAGTAAGGTTATTTACAAATGCAGATTCACCCGCTTTCCCTTGTGCGGTTGACTTGCATAACTGACGAAACCTATCCACGCCGGCCGCACAGTTGAATAACGCGTGTGATGTAACGGCAATATCGAGGCTAAGGTTGTCATATAGAATAGGCACGACACGTGGTCACCTCGCTATAAACTTATGAATGCTTACGCCGGATGACTTAACAAAAACCCAATTAAGTGTGTCAATACACGTTACAGCAACAACAATAAAATTGGAATAGCGTAGAATTGTCAATAAAAATGTAGATGATGATGATCATGATTTTAAAAGCTGCTATTCTATTTCTGCGAAAAATCAAAGTATAATCGACTTTTTGGTTTTTATTAAAAACTCACAAAAAAAAGTGTAAATGCTAAAGTTTTAGAATGTAAATCTTTTGATTACCTACAATTTTACCATTGATTCTTTTCGACAGGAGTTGTAGTTTTCCCAAAAATCGCGATAAACTGTTTTCCCCCTTAAAAGGTCTCTGTAAAAACAAACTCAATTTTCACCTCTGAATTCACGGTATGATTTAAAATTAGAACACGAATTTCCAATAAACCTCAAAGCGCCCGTAAATTATTTTTCCTCTTTTATTCATATGTTCTCTTCCTTTTGAAATGTGTTTCATCCTAGTCTGATTTTTTTATTTTCACTGTATACAAAAGCATTTGTCCTAGCCTATACGTATGAGTACAGTATGAATATATTTTAAGAATATTATGTGCTATTAGCCGTAAATATCAAATTACTGTAAAGCTTCATTCAGTTACATGTCGTCTAATTCTATTGTTTTCACGAAGTTAATTTGCTTCTCTAAGTAAGGCTATAAAGTCTCATAAATTAGGTTTGATAATGTTTTAACACGTTAGTTACTATATATTTTTTAAAACATAAAAAATAACCATTCTTTATAGTTTATAAAAGATAAGTAGATACTTAGGTTTTTCAAGTAAATATTCAACAATTCACAAAATATACGATTTTAAACATAGCCATAATACCAAATGTGGCAGAGCGTAAAAAAAGGTATTAGAAGAGTATAATTTGAGTATAATGAACTGCAAATTTTTTTCAATATATAGACTACTGTAAAATAATACTTTTTGTTTATTCAAGGTAAATTTTTAGTGAAACACGGCTGTTTTTGTGAAACACGACTGGACATCAAAGAACATTCCTGAATCTGAAATACCATGACCTGGTTAAGAATGAGTTTTGCAATCGACCCTGAAGGCAGTTAATCTAATTGTCAAAGTTCAATGGCGATGGTTCAACTTGACATTCTGATAAGAAAAATAAAACTACCTCTTTCTAGAAATAGTACATTGGGAAATATTTAAAATTAAACTAATTCATATTTTTAAAGATTGGTTAAGTTGTTTCAGAATTTATCCATAACAAACATCGCGTCACCATATGTTTATAATAGTATAATAATAGATCATCACCAGTACCATTATCTTATAATAGAGGATAATGGTATTGTCAAGATTATTGTTTCAGCAAAGTTCGCGCTACTACGCACGCAAAAATAATGGATTTTTCCGGGTGAAAAGTTATCAAAAAAAGCCATATTTTACGAAATTACTTAAAAATATTAAATAAACGTAACTCAATTTTCACTTTAATTTTTTCATGATGAAATGTAAATGAATGAAAAAGTGCATTGTGCTGTTTATGCGAATTCGTAAGGTCAGCGACGAGTTACTTTCCAAAGTATGATTGTGAGGCGCCTTTCACGCGGTAATTGTTGTTCTGCTCTCGTTTTTATTAACCGTGGCAGTTTATCAAAATGTAAGAAAGTGACGCAGGAGTCTTGGCGCCACGACATGCACCGTCGAGCGTCTATAACTCGGTATTGCCCTTATTGTTTTAACTAGCGGCCGGCCGGGACTTCGTACGCGTGGAGTTAGTTGACATACCTTTTGACCCCTGTTCACTGCTCATTCCCCCTGTAGTTGATAGCGTGATAATATGTAGCCTATATGTTGACCCGACTTCTTAATAATATTCGTGGCAAATTTTAAGTAAATCCATGCAGTACTTTTTGAGTTTATCCCGGACATACATACAGACAAACAGACAAAAATTCCAAAAACTATATCTTTGGCTTCGGTATCGATTGTAGATCACACCCCAAGTATTCTTTTCAAAAAATATTCAATGTACAGTTTTGACTTTCCTACTATTTTATTATTTACAGATGTAAGGTATTACCACTTAGTGATCGCTTACATACCCTTATTTTATTTTAACAAAAATACAATCATTGTTTCTTGTCAGTCATTGGTGCTACCTTAATTAGTAATTATTTTGATAATACAACAGATACGATGTAACTACTGAGTTAAAATTCTGTTAAAAGTTCTTCTTAACATTAAACGTTAAACTTAGCTTGACGTTCTATAGTCATGCACGACGCTCTTTTTTCTGTTAAAAAGGTGGCAAACAAGCCTATGAGCCACCCGATGGTAAACGACCACTATTTTTTTTGTGACGCAGGCAAAACCTCTGTTTGCAGACGACGGCGCCTTCGAGAGTCACAACGCCGAACGGACCTAACACCTGGCTCCCGCAAGATTTACGGGCTCCCGCATTGGCTGACCACT